CGCCCCCCGCGCGCGGCCCCGCCGCCGCCTTGCTGTCCGCTTTTGTCACTCGGCACTGGGCGGTGGAGGCGGCCATCTTGGCACCGGCGCACGCGGGCCGGCCGCCCCAGGCGGGAGCAGCCGAGCGCCGAGCGCCGCCAACGCAGAGCCTACTCAGCCCCGCCTCTCGGGGCACGCCCAGGGTGGCCGGCAGAGCGTCGAGCGCCGCGAGCGGAACACTTGTCTTAGCCCTGCGGACTTGCTCCCGGCTCGCCGAGATTTGATAGGGCGAGAACCTAAGCATCCTAAGGCCCTTCGGCTATCTTAGCACCAAGATCGCACGTGTCCCACAAAACAACACTCCGAAGCCTGGATTCCTAAAGGACCTGGAGAGTCACTCCCATTACTGAAGTCACCCCCCCCCCGCCCCGGCGGGGAACGTGGAAGACCCCCGAACCGCAGCCATGAGAGTCCCTCCAGCATCATGCTGGAACTCAGTTGTTCCCTGACTGCGTTCTCTGGACCTGGAGAACTTAAAGCTGGACCCTTAAAGCTACCATCACCTTCCTGGAACTCTCTGCCCCTCCCTCCACAACTAACCGGCTTTTCTCCAAGGTTTCTTGACAGCTGGGTGGGGCCAGATTTTGGCCTCTGCTCCGCCCCCGACCTGGCACCCACCCACTTCGGAGTTGCTTGGAGAGAAAGAGAACCTTCTAAGGGCCATGTAACAAGGGGTGCCCAGACCTGGTTCCTAGTCTTGGGCATCTCTCCTCTAAGTAACGCTTCCAGCATCTTTATGCGCCTCCCTTTTGCAATCCCTCATTCCCCAATAGAAAGGTCGTCACAGCCCGCCTTTCCTCCTAATAGTAAAACCAGGGCAGCACCAAGGCCATCTCCAGTTTGTAGACTGACCCTTCATATTCCAATAGCCTGGCACACGGGTTCTTTAGCTCATGTTGGGAACCTATTCCCAATTCCAGGTTCCTGGCTTGTGTGTTGGTTGAGAGAGGTAAGCCTAGCATGTAGGACTCTGCCAACATTTGCTGGGGTGATGGGACAAGAAGAGGGAGGATTGGAAGTCACACAAGGCTTCTGTGTCACCAGTCATCCCTAGAACCAGCCAGCTCTACGTCTTAGCCACTCTGGAGACACTGCAAAGCAAGGCAGGCAGGGGAGCCCTCCAAGTGGGTTTTTGGATGCTGTAAAGCACACCAGAGACTACCCATTTTTCTCCCATCGAGCCACTGGTGGATTTGAACTGTCAGAGTGGTGCTGCCTTTGTTAGCAGCGCAACTTCCTAGGAATAGACCACCTGACCTCCCCAAGGTACAACACTTTCCTCCTTGTCAAAGGCAGCTGGGGCTCTGATAAGCCCTCCTCTCTTTTGCAGACTGTGAGTGCCTTTCAGGGGTAAAAGGGCTTGCAAATGAGTTCATTTGAGCCCAGAGTACCTGAAAGCGGCAGGTAGAAGTATAGAGGGGACCCCCAGACAGCATCCCATCCTAGATAATCCCATGCCTCCAAGGGGAGTCTCTGGGTTGCACAAATAGATGAGCACTAGACTGCTAGCTGAAAAGCTGGCTGTTTGAGTCTACCCAGAGGCATGTCAGAAGACATATCTGGCAATGTTGTCAAAGAATCACAGCCTTGAAAACCTCGTGAAGTGCATACATGAGGCCGTCATGAGTCGCAGCCAACCCAAAGGCAATGAACATAGCTGACCCCCTGCCAGGTTCTCTGCCTTGAAGTTCAATATTCACCCACAAAGTCAAGCTCTGTGAGGCTAGGTCCTCGTCCATGTCCCCTCTGGAGCCCAGCCCTAGCTAGATGCCACAACCACACAGTCCTATAGGATTCTAGCCACTGTCTACCAAACTGTCCAATGCAGTGAAGCAGTGCAGCCTTGCTGCCTTGTGGCCATGCAAGGCCAGTGATTCTCTATTTTCCTTATCTGTAAAACAGGGACACAACAATACCCCACAAAATTAGCAACTCTCCATGGAATTCTCTTGAGGCATAAATGAGATGACTGATTCAGGTCAAAACCTCAATACATAGCATCACTTGGTTCATGGAAGGGGCTATCAGTTCTACCAGATAACTGGAGAGTCACCAGCAGTCTGGGGTTGAGAGGCTAGATTTGCTCTGTCCAGCAGGGTAGCCACTAACCTAGTATTAGCTGTCTTTCAACCACATGTGGTCTGTGGTGACCATGTCGGGCAGCACAGACAGAGAACAACTTGGTCACCTCGGAATATTCTAATGAACAGCACTGCTCTGGACATAGGAGGAATGCTCAAGGGTTAAGATTATATAACCAAAAAGTTGGTGGTTCAACTCCAGACAGAAGCACCTCAGAAGAAAGGTCTGGTGATCTACTTCTAAAGCATAAGCCAGTAACCCCCCCCCACACACACACCACCGGAGCACAGGGCTATTCTGACACACATGAGGTCAACTTGAGTCAGAACTGACTTGATGACAATTGTTTGTGTTTTGTTTTGGGTGGGGTTTTTTTTTTGCTTTGTTTTGTTCCATCCCTAGATACCAGGTCTCACCAGGAGCAAAGCTTTTGGACTCTTGGCTGCCTCGGGCTTGCTTTAAATCCCAACTGCAATACTGACAGCTATGAGACTTCTGGCAAGTTAGTTGAGCCCTCTGTGCCTCAGTTTCCTCATCTGTAAAATGGGACCTATAAAAATACCCACCGTGTAGGGGGTGTTGTAAGGATGTAGATGAATTTATGTTGGTAAAATACTTCAGAAGAGCCCATGAAGTATTTGCTTGATCATCGTTACAAAGCATTAGGGAGAGATAGGAATCATTCTAGGCTTTGAATAAAGCAGAAATGAGCCTTATGTGGCAGAGTGGTTGAGGACAGTGTGAACTTGCTTTGTGAAGCAGTTCATAGTGCTTGTAGGAAAGTGGGGTCCTCTCCCCTCCATCCCCTTCCCTGCTTGCCCTCTCCCCTTACCATCTCCGTAGACTGATCCAGTATCCTCGGCCCAAGTGGGTGGGAAGGGTACCGTGAGAGGTAAGCGGGGCCGCCGAGAGGTAAGGAAGGCGCCAGGTGGCCCCCCAGCCTCACGGTCCAGGGGACTGGGGGGCTGCTCAGCCGCCGAGGTAGCCAGCAGCTCCTGCAGGATGTTGATAGGTGAGACGGTGACTTCCCAGTTGGTGATGCCAAAGTCTCGCAGGTGGGCCCGGGCATGGCTGGAGAGGCCTGCCCTCGTGTCAAAGCCAGCCCCACAGAAGTCACAGCGCATCAGGCTGAAGGTGCCTGGGTCGAAGTTAGCCACTGTGGAGGGAGAGAGGACACAACAACCTGGAGAGGGTGACTCCTCAGTTCTAGCCTTGTAACCAGGGCTCACCCCTGCAGATCAGACTCTGCAGGGGTGAGTCCTTGACTGCCTTCTTCCTCCTTTGACAGTCACAAGTCTTCCTCCAGGAAGCCCTCCTGACTGACCTCCCAGGTCCAAATCCCTCCACTCTCCAATTGTGGATTTTCCATCATGTGGTTGAATCTTAGATTAATACCCTTATGTCTAGAACTCAGGTGTATGTCTACTCATTGTCACCCCAAATGAGTACCTGGGAAGACCAGTCAGTTAAATACCTGACAACCACCTAAAAAGCTTGGTAGTCTGAACCCCCCCCAGAGGCATTTGGAAGAAAGGTCAGGAGAGCTGCTTACGATAGGCCATAGCCTTGAAAACCTTATGGAACAGCTCTACTCTGACACACATGGGATTTCCAGAGCTTAGAATTCCCACAGTGGCAACCGGTGGAAAAAATGATCCCAAAGCCAGAAATGAAATATTAACTGGGTGAAACAACGCATGTTCTGGAACCTTCTTGGAACTCCCCCACTGCCTCCCCAACTAGGTAGAGTCAGGTGCCTTCTCTGAGCCTCCTTGGCCCCCTGTACTCCCCCATCAAGGCTCTAATGACTCCATGACATCGTATCACAACTGCCTGATTTCATGGCTATCTGTCCCCTGCCTCCTGGTCATACCCAGCATATGGGTGGGCACACATGCACATGTACACAAGTGCAAACACACACACACACGACCGGCCACTTGGGCTCCATATCTGCCAATCTCGGAATTACCCAGTCTTTGCATTGGAGATAGATCTCTGGAACCAGAACCTTGGCACCTGGGAACTTGCATCATTCCACAGGCAGCCTCGGGGTGGGGGTGGGGAAGGGTTCTGAAGCCCCTTCAAGGCTCCACCATTCTAGGCTGTGACTGCCAGGGAAATAGGGCTTGTTTCTTCTGTTCACTCCCATGTCCTCGAGTGCCCAGAATAGAGATGACCTTTCACAATAAAGATTTGCCAAATGAAAGAATAAATAAAATGCCCTGCCTGCCACTGTCTTCTCTGTCCAGAATCCCTTCTCAAACTACAGACATGATCAGGGTGCTGGTGTGTCTCCCCATACATCCAACGACAGGGTGGGCTTTGCCAGACCCCCCCCCCCACCAGGTCTTCCTGCAGGGAGGTCTCAACTTTACCCTGCTTAGAATCCCTGGGTAGTACTTAAGGTTAACACAATCACCTGCTAACCAAAAGGTTGGCAGTTTGAGTCTCCCTAGAGGCACCTTGTAAGAAAGGCTTGGCAAGCTACTTCTGAAAAACCTGCTCTTGAAATGTCTGTGGAGCCCAATTCTGCTTTTCCACACATGGGGTCATCATGAGTCAGAGTGGACTGAATGGCAATTGGTTGAAGAGTCCCTGGGTGGTGCAGATGGTTGCATGCTTGGCTAGGGACAGGAAGACTGGAGGTTTGAGCCTACCCAGAGGTGCCTCAGAAGAAAGGCCTGGCAAGGCTGCTTCTGAAAAACTAGCTACTTAAAACCCTATGGAGCACAGCACTACCCTGACACACATGGGGTCGCCATGAGTCAGAATTGACTGACTGGCAACAGGCTTGGTGGTGGTGGTGTTTTCTATGCTAATGGAGGGTACAGAGCAAGATTTTCTGGGCATGCTCCAGGCCCTGCCCTGCCCCTCCTTGGCCTTGGAGGGCAGTGGGTGCTGCAGTGAACTCCCCTACCTTTTTTCTTCTTCTTCTGGAAGGAGAACCTTCGCTCGATGGCTTTGACCTCCTCAGCTGAGATGAAGTGCCTCACGTTATAGCTGACGCCCACGCGGTTCAGGTGGCCCCGGACATGGTTGGCCAGCCCAATGCCATTGTGGAAACGGTCAGGGCAATAGGGACATTTCCTTTCCTCATGCTTCAGAGCTGCCGGGTCCCCATCAAGGAGTGTGTCCAGGCCCAGCGGGTCATCCAGTGGTGCGTCCAGCAACAGGAAATCCAGGGGGTGGTTGCCCCTCAGCTCCAGCTCCTCCACCTGCAGCCTAGGGGGTACCCTGGCGGCTGCCATGACTTCTGGTGTGAGCTTTGCCATCACTACAACTGGGACCATCTTCCGGAGCTGCTGTTGCTGGGCCTGTGAGCCCTCAGCGGCCCACAGGGCTCCTTGGAAAGCACGCTTGAGCTCCAGGGCTGTCTGTGGGATGAGGGGGGCGACTGGGGGTGCATAGACCCCGTTTTCGGGAGTTAAGTCTATTTCAGAGGTCAGGATCATGTCATCCTCCTCTCCACTCCAGGGGTGTCTCTGGTCTCCTAACTGGCCCGGGAACTCGCAGCCCAAAGTGTCCCCGAGCTCCTGGAGGTGGAGCAGGTGGACAGAGCTTTTATTTCTACCGGGCTGCACAGAGTAAGGGGCGGGTGCTGGCGGGGAAGAATAGGGCGGTTTCCCCAGCGGCCTCTGGGGGGCGCCACACGGTGGCGACTTTGACAGTGGGAACTCCTGCTCGCCCAGCGGCTGGCAGGCTGCCTCGAAAGCCAGGCTGGAGTTGTACCCTGCAGGACTCGCCTGCCACGAGGAGGCCACAAGCGGTTCAGCTTTGCCAAAAGAGTCTTCGGTGGCGTCGGGGAAGTGGGCGTACGCGTCCTGGCTGGTGCCCGGCTGGCCGGCAGGGTCCTCCTGGAAAGCCTCGCCGTCATCCCAGTGCGGACGGGCGTGCACAAAGCGCACGTGCTCCCTGAGCAGGCTCTCGCTGGGGGCGGGGAAGCCACAGAAGATGCAGGCACTGAGGCCCGGGGAGGACGCGTAGGGCTGGAAGGCAAGGTTGGGCGTCTCCGGGCCGGGGCTGCCGGCACTGCTGCCCCCGGTGCTGCCGAAGGGCTCCGAGGCCACCGGGCCGCGGTGCTCCCGCGCGTGCAGCTTGGTGTGCTGACCGAAGGCCTTGGAGGAGTTGGTGCCGAAGACGCACTTGGAGCACTGCAGGCGTGCCTGGCGGCCCTCGTCCTCCGGCACCTGCTTCAGCTTCTGGATCTCCTCGATGATCTTCTCCCGGGAGCTCTGATGCAGCTGTTGGTGCTGCTCCAGGGTGCCGGGGTCGGCGAAGGCCCAGCCACACTCGCCACAGGCCAGGGGGGCCAGCTCGGCTGGGGGCTCCTGGCCCGGGGTGCGCCGGTGCTGGCTCATGTGCTCCAGGAGGTGCTCCTTCTGCCGGAAGTAGATGCTGCACTCGATGCATGGGAACACGGCCGGCTCCTCATCTTCCTCCTCATCCTCATCGGGGCTAACTGTGCCCTCGGCCACCTCCTCCAGGAGCTCGCACAGGTAAGGTCCAGTCTGCACAGGGGGCAGCAGAGGCTGCAGCCGCTCCACAGAGGCCTCCGAGTTCACCGTCCAGGTCTGTGTGGCCACCTCCAGGGCTGCCCTCGGCAGGCTCCACTCGGGTGGTGGGGTCAGGGCTTCGGGGTCCTCTTGTGTGACTGTCACGGTCATCGTCTGGGGGTTGTCATCTGTTGGCACGAGGACCCTCCGGAAGGAGTCCAGGTGCAGCCCCACGTCCTGAGGGAAGGCCTGCTCCTCGACATCCTCAAGCCAGGGGAGGCCAGCGAGGCCGCGGGGTTCCTTTCCCGCCAGCTTTGGTCCCCCCTGGTGGTGGTGTAAGAGCCTTTTAGCGCCCTCGAGCTCAGCGTGGGGCTTCACGGTCCTCACAATGACCGAGTCCTCGAACCTCCGCTCTGAGGGGATGCCCTCCTGGACCAGGGGGTGCTCCCAGGGCCCCTGGCCATCGTGAGGGCCAGGAAAGTGGCCCAGGAAGTGGGGTGGGGGAGAGCCTGGTCGGAAGTCCAGGCTGCCTCCATCCCAGCAGCTGCAAGGAAGTGCCAATGGGGACAGGTTAGCTGTGGGCCTCAGTTTCCCTCCCTTGGGCATGGGGAGGTCTCCCAGGTAGTCAGCTCGAGAGCAGCTTAGAGAGGACAGGGACTTCATGTGCTATAGAGTAGAACTGCTCCATAGGGTTTTCTAGGGCAAGGAGTCTCTGGGGGCACAAATATAAGAGCTAGACTACTACTAGCCAAAAGACCAGAATTTGAATCCACTCAGAGGTGCCTTGGAAGAAAAGCCTGGTGATCAGCTTCTGAAAGGTCACAGCCTTGAAAAACCTAAGGATGAGTTCTACTCTGTACACACAGGGTCACCATGGGCTGGAAACGACTCCACAGCAACTCACACCATCAGATGGAGTGAGGGGGTGGAGAACACCTTTAAATCCATCCAGAGCTCTGGTCAAACACCCAGGCTCAGATCTCAAGATGCACCCCTCCACCTAGCTCAGCTCCCTTGCATCCTGAGCGGAGGGTATGCACAGGGAGACAGGGCCACCTCCAAGAGGAGGCTCCAAGTCTGGAGTCAGTCACAGTCAACTCTCATTTCCTCCCTGGAGGGCCCAAGGTCTGGGCTTCTGCCTGGTCCTCCCCAAACTGGGCTGACTGAGTTAATTTCATGCCACTCCTTTCTCACCCTAAATTACACAGCTAATTGGGTTACACTTCTCACTTTGCAGCAACAGTAACCCTCCTTTCACATCTCCCCTGCAGAGGCTGGAAAGATACTACAGGGAGATGTTAATGGTTCCTGCTCAGCCTGTGATCTACAGGGTGAGGTGAGGCAACTTCTATGGGCCTCAGTTTTCCAATCCTAAAAATGGGTATGATTTCCAAGAGCCAGCAACCTCCAAGTCCTCATGCAATGTGTAAGGATAGATGCTTATTTAAATAGCACTTTAAAAAACGTACTGCACCAAGTCAGAGTTTGCTTCCTTTCAAACAGGAGGGCACCACTTAATGCTGGGAAACACTTAGGCTGACGCTTTGCCTCCCAGTAAACCCAAGACCAACATGGGCTTTTATGTTTGTCTTTTATAAGTCTCCATCACCAAGAGCCTAACTCCATGAGAAAGAGCCCTGGTGGCAGAGTGTGTTGTGTGTTGGACTGCTAACAGAAAGGCCAGGAGTTCGAATCCACCAGAACTGTTCCAAGGGAGAAAGGCGAGACAGTCTTTCTGGAAAGATTCACAGCCTCAGAACCCCAGCTTGACAGTAGTGGGTTTGGCATGGCTTATTGGTAAGGAATTACGCTGCCACTGCAAAGGGACATGGTTTGAATCCACCAGATGCTCCATGGGAGAAAAATGAACAATTTACTCCCATCAATTTACTACTTATGAAAACAAAGAGAGGGTCAGCAATGAGTCCGTTTCGACCTGACAGTACACAATAGCAACGTCACCCTCAGTGGGTACTGACCGCTTCCATGGAACAGGTGGGAGTTCCTACGTGGTGCAAACAGTAAATGCACACAGGTGCTAACCAAAAGATGAGAGCAAGAACGTCCTGGTGGTCTACTTCTGAAAGACTGGCTACTGAAAACCCTCTGGAGAACATTTCTACTCTGATACATGTGGCGCTGCCACGTGTCAGGGTTGATGGCAACTATATATATACATTTGTTTGTTTGTTTGTTTTAAATGAAGCAGATGAGGAAACAGGTTCTGCAGGAGGCTAAGCGGGGAGCACGCAGGTCGTTGCACAAAGTCACACCTATGAATCGGGACACTACAGGAGCATCCTCTGTGCAGGGCTGTGGCCGGTGCAAAGCACAGGCTCTGTAGCTGATACCCTGTTGTTGTAAAGTTGAGTCCAGTTCATGGTGACCCCCTGTGCTATAAAGAAAACTGCTTTAGAGGGTCTTCTTGGCCTGGGTGGTGCAAACAGTCAAACACTGGACTGCTAACAGAAAGCATGGCAGTTTGAAGCCTCCTAGAGATGCAATGGCAATAACGCCTGGGGATCATCTCTCAAAAAGCCTGTGGAAGGGAGCTCTAGTGTCCTAGTGGCAAGAAGCTGCACTGCAATCCCAGAGGCATGCAGTTCAAATCCACCAGATGCTCTGCTGGAGGAGGGGCAATCGCCTCTTGTACCACTCAGATCTGATTTGACGGTACACACACACAAAAATAAAGCGTGTGGAACCACTCTTCTCTGCATGCACACACAGCCATAGCTCATTTGACAGCAGCTGAAAGCAACCACCACCACCACGTATATGGAAGGTGACTGCTAGGCCTTTCTTCCCTGGCAACACTGAGTAAACCCGAACTGCCAACTTGAGGGTTGGTGGGTGATTGCAAATGTTTGCACCACCCAAGGACCTGATCTACAGTTGATAGCTAGTATTAGTCCTGGTACAACTAGGGCTTTGTTATGAAAAAGCAGCATCCACAAAGCCATTTAATGAATGGTAGCTGTTGTCAGCATTGTTGCCTGGGGGGTCTGCAAGGCATCATATGGACTCCATTTTACAGATAAGGAAACTGAGGCACAGAGAGAGCTAGCATCATTCAAAGGGACTCCAAGGGTTGAGCCTCCAGGCCCTGGCACACAAGTAATCCCACTCCTGGCAGGGATAATGAGAGTTGACTGTCTGTGTTTATCCCGCCCGCCTCCCTCAGCACATGCTCAGGGCTGCTCACTGGGGTCACCTCTTCCTGCCTGACCTCCTGATCCCGTCTCGATCCCGGGGTGGGGGGGCTTTTCTGGGGCCTGGGCATATCCCCCGGCCTCCCTGCCCTCCCTGAGTCAGGGCCAGCGTGGCACTCACCAGCTGCTGATCCGATGGGTGGTAGAGGTGGCACGGGGGAGGGCTTCGCTGAGGCCGGGATGGGGTTGCCCGTCTGCAACAGAGAGGGGAGACCCTGAGGGGCTAGGGGCCCTGTGGCTGAGGCCCTTCGCACCCCAGCCCTGGGAACCTTGCTGGGTGCCTTGGGAGGGCCCCACTGGCTCCCAGCCCCTTTCCCTGAGATGTCTTTGATTGCCACTTCCCTAAGCTCAGCAAAGGGTTTCCTTAGAGGGGTCTCCTTTGCTCTCCTGGGGGAGTCCCAGAAGTTGGCTGCCTTCCAACCTTCCTCTCTAGTTCCCACAAGCAAACCCTGGTAAACTTTCACCTGGCTTCTCATTGTATCAACCCTCACGATGGCTCAAGCCCACCTAACTCTCTTGGGCTGCAGAGCCCGAGAATTCCCTCTCCCTGGCTTCCTGCGTGGCCAGCCCAAAAAGCTCCCTCCTCTGGCCACTTGTAAAGGGAGCCTCTGTGGAGTTCTCCCTCATTGTCTGCTTTGCTTCTGGCTTTGCACTCTTTGAAACCACCTGTCTCACCCCTCAGGAGGCTTGATGGCCTGTCTCCCCAGCTAACCAGCACGGAAACCCCCTGAGGGTAGGGGCGTCATCTGCCCTGTCTACTGGGTACCTATCAGACATCGACTGCAGGATGAACATGGGGCTATGAGGGTCTGGTTCTGCCTCCTGGACCGCTTCCAGGCTAATGCCCTGGAACTGAGTCCTCTCCTGGGACCCCTCACAGAGACAGCCAACTCTCCATTATCTGCCTGTGGAGCCAAAGCCTGGAGAGACCCCGGAAATCCTGGCCTGGGTCCTCTGCCTGCCGTGTGCTCAAGCATGCCAGCCAGGGGCTGAGCCAAATCGCCTGTGCCAAGGTTAACACACCGGGGGTGCTTGTCCCGGGTCCAGAGCCTCAATCCAGAGATGGCTAGAATGATGGCTGGTTCTTTTTCCAGTCCCAACTGTCCACTTGCCCAGGAAATTGAGAGCAGACTGTCAGAAGCCAGGGATAAAAGGGGATTCCAAAAGTTGGGGTCTTTTTTGCCTAACTTGTGAATAGAACCATGAGAACTGTGTGGCTTCTTGAAGGTGGGGGCAAAAGGAAAGGGCAGGGATTTGCATGGCCAGAGCTAGGTGTCTCCACCTCAGCAGCATGGGCATTTGAGCCCCAGTCATTCTTTGAGGGCACCCATCCTGAGTGCTGGAGTCCCTCAGAGCACTAGAATAATTGGCCAAAAAGTAGGCAGTTCAAATCCACCCAAGAGGAACCTCAGAAAACAGGCAGGGCGCTTGATCTGCTTCTGAGAAGTCATGGTCTTGAAAATCCTGTGGACACAGTTCTATCCTGACACACGTGGGGTCGGTCACCAGGAGCCGGAGTCAACTTGAGGGCCACTAACAGCCATTCCAATGACAGGGTTCAGATCTGCTGTTCAAAGTGTCACTGAGTTGTACTCGACTCGACGGCACCTAACTACAACAAAAGGCGTTCTGTGCATCGCAGGATGTTGAGTAGCACCCTTGGCCTCCACACAGTTGATGCTAGTAGCACTGCCCTCCAGTGTGAAAACCACAGGTGTCCCCAGACACTGCCAAATGTCCCCCCCGGGGTCAGAACGGTCCCAGTTGAGAACTAGCAGGGGACGAGGAGCTGAGCCAAGCTGGACATATGCTTGGGTGCCAGTGTGCCTGTGGGATGGGGCATGAGGTCAGGTGTTGGGGGAGGGGAGAGTTGAGGTTTGGAAAGTAAATCCTGGGTGGTGCCAACAGTTAAACACTCAATTACTGACCAAGAGGTTGGAGGTTCAAACACACCCAGAGATGCCTCAGAAGAAAGTCCTCGTTATCAGAGTCTGAAAGATCACAGCAAACCCTGGGAGGCACAGTTCTTTCTACTCCACACACACAAGGGAGCACACGGAGGCACCATGAGTTAGCACTGATTTGATGACAACCAGTGCGATTTGGTTCCGTCTAAACAAATCAAGGAAGGGAGACCCCTGCATACGGGGTTTCTCGGGGACCCACATGCAAGATGACACAGATATAACTTTTCAAGAGAGGATGAATGGACCTAGTGGAGCCTGAGAGACACAAGTGGAGGGTCTGGATGCCCTGCTTCGTAGATGCAGGACCCCTCAAGCTCCTGAGATGCAGCGTCCCAGATTTGATGATTTTGTGATTGCCGGAGTCTAAGAATTCCGCGATGAGCCAGGGGGCTGGGTTGGCCTCTTTGTCTGAGCAGCTCCAATGAGGTTCCTATTTTTAGTGGCAGCGACTTTGGAGGAAGCAGGCCACACAACTGGGGGTGGGGGCTCGCCCAGAGGCTTTGTAACCCGAGGCCATCACCAACTCTGGGGATCTAAAGGGTCAGGCAGGGATCATGCAGAGGGTTCTTCATTGGGGTCGCTAAGGATTTGAAAATGAGAACATGCTTCAGAGGGGCCGACGAGCAGCTTGAAACCTGTGCCAGACAGCTTCTTGGTATGGCCAATAATTCAACTTCAAGTCCCAGAGGTGGCCTAAAAGAGCATGTTTTTCGCTCTCTGTGCCTCAGTTTTCTTCTCTGTGCAAGGGAAATGGACGGTGATGATTCAGTGTTAGAATGTTCACCCTCTAGGAGAAAGAGTTGCTGTTTAATTCCCGGCCAATAAGTCTCCTGTGTGGTCACTGACCTTTGGTCAGTTCAGGCTTGGATGCTGCTATGAGGCTGAATAGCTTTCAGTGGAGGGTCCAGATTAAGACAGACCAGGAAGACCTGACATTTGACCCCCACAAATCAGCCAGTGAAAATGCTACGGATTCTAACAGTCCAAACCAAAGCTGATCATGGGATGGTGCAGGATGGGGCAGCATTTCACGAAGTTGACCCCAGCGTGACTAACAACAGTGTCCCAATGCAACAATCACCAACCCCAACCCCGATGCAACAAATGTTGGACCCAGTGAGGCTGTGGAGGGGAGGGCTGAGAGGAGCGGGGTTGGAGTGCTCTGGGGTGGAAGGTGGAGCCTCACGCCTGCTTCCCGATCTGGCTTCCTCCCCAGCCTGGAACCCCACAAGGGCGGCAATGATGCATCACTCGCTGTTCATTCCCAACATGGCATCAAATGCACAACAGGTATGTCTCAGCACCTCTGAGCCTCTGATACACCCTGGAGGCTACACAGTGGGAAGGTGGCTGGGATGATGCATCTAGGTTCAGGTGGAGAGGTTTGGAGGTGGCTGCGCTGGGGTTGCCCTGGGAGGCTCTGAGGGCTGGGGGTGGGGTGGGGAGGAGGGAAACCCAGGCTTCCCAATTGAGGCACCATCAGGACTCTGAGTACAGGTGTCTATGGCCAAGAAGGTGGCAGGAGGGACACCTGGCCTTGCCCCATGCACCCATCCACTCAAGGGAAACCCTGAGGCCTCAATTCTTCACCCTTAGTCTTTAAATCAGACACATGCACAGGATGCCCGTGGCTTTCCCAGTGCAGAGTGACCCACCTGCCTCTCTAGACCTGGGCACATGCCAGGTGAAGAAGAAAGCTTCAATTGCTTGAAACCAGGCCAAGAGGGGGCCCTGGAATCCCCAAGTCCCCTGCCCTGATTGCTGTGTGACTTGGGACATGGCCCTGACTCACCTGCATCTCAGGTGCCTGGCCTGGCCTGAACAGGTTGGAGGTAGGGATGGCCCAGGGTTCCCCGAGCATTGAGATTTCAGTGTTGGGCTGACCTTCTGCCCTTTGGGTCTCATTTTTGCCACCCCTTTTCCACTGCCACCTGCACACGTCAGTCACCTCCAAGCCCATGCCCTCTGCCCAGATGCCCCTGCTCTCCTTTCCTGGTTTACTGCGCCTTCCCTCCCTCTTTCACTTTCTCCAGGATCCCAAAGCTTGCCCCAGAGCAGACCCGGCACTTTGTCCTGGCCTGCAGCCCCTTGTGTCTCCCCTGTTGCAGCCCAACGACTGGGTAATATATCCAGTCCCATTTCTCAGACAGGGGACCCATAAGGATGGACTGTGCGTCCTTGCTCAGTGCCCAAGACGCTCTGTACACATCTGGACCTCACTGAGGATGCCAAGGGTGCATGGGAGCAGGTCAAGGAGACCTGGATACAGCACAGAAGTGGAAGATGAGGGTTGTCAAGCCAGGGTATCTGCCTGGGTGCAAATCTCCATGCAGTTACTGCTTGGCTCTGTGCTCCAGGACCTCAGTTCCTCTACTGCTAACAAGACAATAATAGTAATGGAAGGTAGCCCAAGGGGTTCTTGCAGAAATTATATGAGATGATCATGGAAAGTGCTTGGCATGTAGGAAACTCCAAACAGATGCAGGCGAAGGAGGTGGCAGGAGGGGTGTATTCCCAGATGCCCCAATTTATCAGCCTGCTTTTCCGGACCACTACACACACACACACACACACACACACACACACACACACACACACACACACACACACGATTCCTTCGTGGTGCTCAGATATGCCAGGCTTGTTCTTCCTCACCCCAGGACCCTTGCACATGCTATTTTCTCTCCCATTCACTCAGATGCCACCACTCAGGCAGGTCATCCCTGCCCCCTCCAGGCATCATCGCAGCAAACTGTTCCTTTCCTTCACAGCATTCCTCATTAACAGCCCGTGTGGTCGTGTCTAGTTGCTCGTCCCTTTCCCCTACTGGGGTGTCAGACCCTCCAGGGAAGGGAGTTTGCTGCCTTTTTTTGTTCACAGCTGTACCCCCAGCACCTAGAACATAACCTGGCACACAGGAGGTGCTCCGTATTTAATGAATGAGGTGTGAATTTTTAGGTAGGGATGGTCACCATGGCAGCCCCCTCTGCTAGGTAAACTGAGGCACAAGAGAGTGGTTGCCATCCCTCATCTGTCCAGTCTCTCCCCAGCCACTAGAGGGCACAACTGATTTGGCAACATGCAGCACCAAGGCCCAGGAGCTGGGCTCACCCTCAAGGCACTGTGCAGTGGATGTAGTGATGGGGAGCTGACGTGGACTGATGGCGGCGAAGGCACTTGGGGGATCCATGAGGGAGGGAGCTTGGGGCACTGAGCTGGGCATCTGGTTCCAAATGGTGTGCTCAGAGCAGGGAGGGAGGTAGATTTGGGATCAAGCGCCAGCTCCTTGTAACCCACTCCAGGGGCATGGGGGATGCTTGGTCAAGCCATTGGACTCAGGGGGCCTCTGTCTTCACAACCGTAAAACGGGATGCTCCTCAGAGTGCATAGAGAAGGCTCTAGACCCAAACTGAATTAGCATTCCAACTTGGCTTCTATTGAGTTAGGTGACCCAAGAAGCTGCTGGTCTTCTCTGAGCCTTAGGGATGGGGCAGCAATATTCCCTCCAGGCCAGAGGGCCCCCTTCTTACCAGAAATGCCACCTCTGCCATCCAGAATATCTTGGGGGCCCTCTTTGGTGACAGGCAGGTAACGAGTGGATCGGAAGATGCCACCTTCCCCCTCGGCAGCCTCAGTCCCACCCTCGATGTCCTCCCTCGGCGCTGGGCCAGGCAGTCTTTCGGGGCCTCGGGGGCGGTCTGGGGCAGCTAGGCCCCCTGCCAGGACCCCATCCATGGGTGCTTTCTGCGAGGCTCCCCTCAGTTTCCACGCTGGCTCAACGGGGCATTGCGGGCCTGGGGGTAGAGAATAAGTTGCTTAGAGGAGATAGCAAAGAGGTCCTACCTGTTTCCCTTCTCTCACTCGGTGCCGCAGTCTACAACCCAGCTCCCCCAAAACCCATCAACAATGTTGCTGTTAAGTAGATTCCAACTAATGGGATCCCATGTGTTAAGAGTAGAACTAAACTCCATAGAGTTTTCTTGACCATGATCTTTACAGAAATCGAGAGCTCAGCCTTTCTTCTGCTAGGTGGGTTTGAACTGCCAGTCTTTAGGTTCGCAGCTGATTGCAAACCACTTGTGCCGCCAGCCAGGGACCCCACCCAGCACAAGTGAGCTGAATAAATGACTCTGAGGTCCCATACACACACAGGTAGCCTATATAATGCCAACTCTCTGCACAGAGACCCTACACTGTCTGCTTGTACCCCATTCACATACCTGCACACCCAGCATTAAGCCTGACAAGCCTCCCTCCTTCCCACAGGGCAGAACTTTGCCCATTGTGCCCTGGCTTCCCTGTACGTGCCAATCTCACACCTCCCTCTGCCGTGCCACCAACACCAGCTCTATGCACCCTCCAGCTTCCCATTATTGCCCCTGCACTTTTTCCACACAACCTTTGCCTCAGTTTCCTATACCAATTATGCTTGCACTTTTTTCACACTCCACCTTCCCCACACACGACCTGGGGGTCCTCCAGCATTAACCCTTTTACCCTTATAACCCAGCGTCAGGTGACCCTAGCATTAAGCTCTTCACTTTTCCTCATCATCGTCCCTCATGCACACCCAACCTGAGGTCCTCCATCCCACCTCCCAAGACTGCTCTAGTCCATGGGGCTCCTGGTCCAGAAATGAGGACCCTGGGGAGGTTGGGAGGGGGGGCTGTCCTCTCCACCTATAAATACCTTCAAGGTAACGGCAGAAAGTGAAGGGCAGGAATGAGGCGCCCTCCCTAGGGAGAGAGTAGGGAGGCCGGGCCCAGGCAACCGGGGCGGGGCCGGTGCTCCGGGCCTGGCTGCAGGCGCTGCCCTCGGGGCCTGGGGACTCCCAGGGGGCCCGTCCATGGGCTGGCAGCCGTAGTGAGGGTCTCTACCCAGGCCTGGAGCAAGCACCTGCGGGTGTCCACCGAGTGGGTACTGCCCACAGGGAACGGGCGGGATCCGCAACTTCGGGGCACTTTGGTAGCGCTGAGCAGGGGGTTCTACCCAGACACCCCCCCAGAGGTCGCAGGCTGGGGGCCGTACCGCGCCGGCGCGCCCCTCGGGGCTCCAGGGTCCGCGGGATGCGCCCTCCGCCCGTGCACCTCGGGGCAGGAGACCCCGCGGGGCGCTCCAGGGGAGGGGGACACCTGCCCCCCGCCCCACCCCTCCCCCC